TAAAAAAGTTATTATGTGACAGAAGAAATCAGGGATGTAGTGGTGGGGAGGGGCTCAGGAGGACGCGGCTTGTGCTTGGACATAGCCAAGAACCATGTAACGCAAATTGTAACACAAAAACATGTAACACATAGCCAAGAATTGTTACTTTACTACAAGTCAGCTATTGACGATTAAACCAAAAAAGAAAAAGAGAACAACAGACAGATTTAAACGCATTGCAAACTGTTTATGCATGAAAATATACACAAAGTATGACAACCAAAAATGTGTCAATTCAAAATCCAATGGGTCATTAATTTTAAAAAAAGTTCTTTCTTATCGATGCTATAAATATTCTATATGCATTTTCTGGTCATAATTAGAATGTCATATTTCAAAGATTTTCTCGCTGCTAACCATGGTGGTGGCTTTCACTAAACCATTGAGCAATATAAACAATCCCCCCCCCCCCCCCCCACTCAATCAATGTACCTTGCTGCTCAACCCATGATCGGAAAAAACATCGACCCTCGTCATGTTCAAATTGCAATTATCACATGAAAAGAACAACTTAGAAAATTCATAAAGTTACAATTACAATTACAATTTTACGACTACACCCCTGCTAGAAATTTGGGCAAAGTTTTGTCGGTTTATTAAGTGTCATTGCCCGCCACAGAAAAAATTCGCAACTTCCGTCACTGACTCGAACATTGGAAGGGTAATATCTGAAACGCCGAAAGTGGGTACAGGCAGGGTACAAAGGGCCAAAGAAGGGCCAAACAAAAGCCAAATAAATAAAATTGCTTAATTTTACGAGGGACAGCTATGTTACGGACTCCGGTGTCATTAGACAATATGGCGGAAAATAACGAGAAGTGGTCCTGGGAAAATGAACGTGGAAATCATTTTGCTATAAAAACTTTAACAACACACTTTTATAATCATAAAACAATAATGAAGAATTTACTCAGCTTCAGTTGGGAGGGAAACATTTAAAGCCAACTTTAAAATTTCTTTTATGTATCTGCAACGATCTTAGAAAAAAAAGTGTTATTAAGACAGAAACATTCAGAAAACGTAAACCAAGAAATAAAGAGTTTTCTTATGATATACAATCACAATTGTCTATTCTCATAAATAATCTCAAAATTTATCTTAAATATGTTCTTAAATCTGCAATGATTGGAACTCTTTCATGATATGAGACAAAATTTGCTACAGGTTGATACCCTGATTTCTCACAGATTCAATTCCAAAAAAAGTTGTCCTTTTGATAATTGAAGGTATTTTCTTTGTTCAGTTACCAAGAGCAGCATGAATACTGAATACTGAAAGTTGCTACAATGAGGATATTGAAAAGCATTTATGAAAGAAAATATCAGAAAGAATTTAACCATCAATTATTTCCAACTGATTAGGAAGGGGCAGAAGAAAATGAAATTGGCTGGCGTTGCTAGAAGGGGTAAAAAAGATTTCGGGTTCTGGAAAATCTTAAGAACCTTTTGAAAAGTCGTATAACCATACGTGCATAAATAAAGGCGAGCAATACAAGGAACACACTTCACAATACTCCTAGCTCCTTGCCTTGGGCGTAGCAGATATTGCAAGTTTAGGGGGGGGGGGCTGAGTATGGATGGATCTTGCCTATTACTTTACTGAGACAGGACTGCCCGAGTAAAGCCTGGAATGCGAAAAACGTTGTCAGACTAAGGGGGCTAAAGCCCTCCCATTTCCTATTTCTCCTATGCCAATGCTCCTTGCCTAACAGTAGATATAAAACATCATTTTGGGCTTACTATTTTGCCGAATGAAACATAGCCAAGGTAGCGGATGGGGAGCTGGGCGTATTCTCTTGTAAGACATCTTGTAGCGTTGTCGACAAGGTATTCTGCACGGCATTTCTAGTTTTGTAATGCAATATCACTACCATTCCTGTAGCTGCCTCAGGGTTTCAGTGGCATTGTCGTTAACCGTTGCACATCCACTTTTGGCGAGCAATGGTTCTGTGATATGTTATTGGCTTAGCAAGACATCCTAACTTATGCCAGCTTGTCGTGGGTTGCCCCAGATCTTGTGGAAATGCTGAAAATCTTCATCAGAGTCCAGGGACAGCGAAAAAGAGGGTACTGGGGAGACTTAAGCCCACAAAAATTTCCAAATAACTCGTTCAAAAAATAGAAAAGTAATCTTGCTTTTGGCCTTTTGAACGGTTAGCCCCCAAAACATTAAAGCCCCCCCCCCTAAATCCATAATATGTATCGTGGTCTATTTTCTTTAAGCTTTATAACATCGTGGACTATATTCCATGGAGCATTTTCACATGCATCGTAAGAATGTGAAAGAAAAACAAATGTATCAAGAATTAGGGCTTTGAATGTGAATCTTTAAAGGGTACTTGCTGCCCTCATAACAAGTATGAGTGACAGGTTAACATAAAGACAAAGGTTTGGGGGACATAATGGCTAAGAGAGCTGCAGCCCCCCTAATCCGACAAAATCAATCGCTTTTCAGGCTCTATTAGGGCAGTTCTACCTTAATAGAACAAAAATATTCTGGCAAGATCCATACCTTGCCTATGCATATAGATAAGATATTTAAAACTGATGAAAAAATGAAAGATAAATCAGCTCGTAAGGATTCACCATTTGCTACCAGAATTTTAATATGGGGTATCTTTAAGGCTGCTGATAGCAAATAGAATTTACCATAATAAATCAAAGTTGCTACAATAAATTTCTTCCAAAAATTTTTTCACAAAAAGCATACATGCCCTTAACCCTCGAACTAGCCACTTGGGGGTTATTTATTTTTGATATTTTTGGATGGAGGCTTATTCGAGGGGGTGGCTTATACGGGGGAGGGGCTTATAAAATTATTGTAGACATTAAGAAGACATTACCAAAGGACCTCGTTTATTTTAGTAGGGATTTCTTTATTAGCATTAAATTAATTACTACCAAAAGTATGAATTTGTTGTGGTAATTCAATATAGCGCCATAGGCTCCCTCAAATGGCAAAAATCATCAAATGGAGGCAGGACCGTAGCCAGGGGCGGTCTGGTCTGGTCCGGGTGACAAAGTGGCGAAATTTACGGGCCCTTCCCGCGTTTGATAAAATTATTTAACTTAATGAAAAAGACTTAATGGCTTAGACAAAATTACTTTTCGATTAATGTCCCATTACAAGTATTTCAAACCAACCAAACCCTGGTTTATGTTATTGCAGCCATGTGTTCAATGTGACCTGTACCCTAGGTACCAGAGCCACAACATTTTAAGTGCGTAAACATAATACCAAGCAGAGTAGAGGAGGAGCGTACTCACCCTGTGATTTTGACGCCAGGCCGCCCCTGCCTGTAGCCAAGGGGTGGCATGGGGTGGCGATGCTACCCCTGTAGCAACTGTAGGCCAGCTGTTTGCCACCCCGAGAATTTTGTCTCTAAATTTTTTAATAGGATTTTTCGTCGTTTTCGTTGGATTGTCGTGACAAATTGAGTGAAGTTAATACTGGCGGAAGGAAAGTTGGTTACTGGGGTCTCTTATTACCCATTTAGAACAAAAAAATTGCCGGAACGTCTGCTTGGAACACGTTGGTCAGGGAAATTCAAAATCACAAATTATGCGAATAACAATTTTGGAGACAATATTGTAGCATATAGACACGCACTGCTCAAATCAGGAGTTGTCAAAATAAGAATGGTAGTTTCTGTTATGTTAAAAACACATACTTCTTGAGTTAGCCTAAAGAAACTATAAAATATTGCAAAAACAAGCGCTGAAAATTATCTTAAAAACAAGACAATGGAGTGTAAATGGCAAAGACAGTGCCTTGGCCGACGGATTGCTGCATCAGCTAGAAGAGGGTGTGGACGAGGGGGTGTTAATTTTTGTAAATTGCCTGCTGGTGGACATTTTAAAGCCAATAAACAATTCTGAAGCAGCTTCAATCTTCCACACAAGATGTTGCCACAGCACTGTCTATAGTTCAAGCAGTGAGAAAGGACCTTAAGGAATGATGTGTAAACTTGACTAAGGTTCAATGCGTGAAAATGGTTGCTGATTTTCGAAAATGCAATCAAATTCCTTGAAGTCAGCGTCGTTCAGTGAAAAAGGGCACTGAAGAAGGACATTAAATTTTATGGAGAAAATCATCCCACTTTCCAGCTGTGAGCTGAGAGGTGAGATCCCATTCTTCTATAGAATCCTTTTGTGTTTTTAATTTTTCGTTTATATGGAAAACATGCCAGCCAAGCTGCATGAGAAGTGGGATCTCACTGAGGTGGGATAAATTTTTCCCCCATAAACGTTGGAAGCTGGGAAGAAGCTATATGATTGGATGATATGAAAGGATGATTTTCTTCATATACGGCTGGAAGGTGGGATAGAATTTGCATGTAAACATTCGATGATTTTATCTCAACCTGCCAGATTATGGGTTGAGAAGTGGGATAAATTTGCTTATATAAACAGGCCCTCTCTTAGGTGTTTTTGTTGTGGGTTATAGTACACAGGTGCTAGGGTTGTTTGCAAAGGGATAGCGGTCACCATGTTCACAGCTATACAAAGCAATTTAGCACAAAACTAAGTAAAAAAAGCAGCCATCTAGAATGTTCCTGTTAAGCCCCTGTCAGCAAAAATTTGCAGGGTTTCAATAGCTTACAGGGAGATTTACAAATAATATTTGGTTTTTTATCAGAACCATCCTTTGTTTTTAGAGAAAGAATGAAAATAAATAATTGTCAAGGGTTGATAAAGTTTGAATTGGCAAAATTTAACTCCGTAGAACTGACATAAAACCAAGAAAAAAATAACGAAAAAATCAATTAGAACGCAAACAATATAGGCTATGTAAATAGCCCCAATGCTAACACCATTTTCAAATGTCCGAAATTTTCTGACAGGAAAGCAAATATATTTACCCCCCTTTGAGACAAAAGGAGTGCCAATCAACCGATACAACGAAACACCGTATAAATAAAGGCTGCAGTTGGTATGCAGTGACATTTGACTGCGAACCGGACACAAGGTGAGTGGATAAAATGTTTAGAAAACAAATTCGTAAATGGTGTAAGAAAATCAGTTCGTAAATATGTAGTGTAAGTAAACGAGTTCGTAATGAATCCATTTTCAATTTGAACAGATCTTGATTGGTAGTATCATGCTCAACAAATGTACAACCGGCTACGAATCTCATTCAATCAAAAATTTAGAATCTCAATTTATTTCTTCAAGGTACAAAATGGATCTCAAACTTCTTGGTATTTTCCTTCTCTTGGCCGTTGCAGCCTACGGTAAGCATGATTTGTATTTCTTCGCATTTTAGAACGGATCTATAAAGAGGTTATCGATCTGTAGCTCATGGGTTCCAGATATTTCTATTTGTGTGTGATTTTTGGACTTTTATTTCTATTAGACTTTGTGCAGAAAGATATTGACAAGCTGTTTTGGAAAAGAAATGATAGCTCTTGGCATATGTTTGTACAAACCCAAATAATTTTCTGGCCATAGTAACTGTTACGGCCAAAACGATAATGATGTTGCTGTAATTTCCCGTAAAATATATGACATATAAAACACCGTTAAACGGCGATGAATTCAATCTTTTTAAATACATAACAACAAAAACAAAATCTGGAAATAAAGTCTTTTAAATCACCATAGGTTTTTTTCATTGTTCAACTAGAATGATATTCTTAAAAAGTTCATAGTTAAATGACAAATCGTGAGAAATTAGTTTGCATCGCAGTAAAATTTTCTCATGCAACTAACTTGAAAATATTTAAATTGAAAATTCTTTCTTTCGGTTATTTGGTTACAGAGTAGAAACCATAGAATTCAAATTTTCCATTTAAAGTTTTAATTAATCTAAAAGCCATCTCACCATTTACCTGGGTACTCTATTGCCACCACTTTGATGGCTGTCTTTATAAATATAATCTTGCTATATCACCGAGGAGGATGTGTTTAAAATCCTTTGGTATTTCTACCTTGAAAAATATGGTAAAATTCTTTCAAATTCCTTTACCAGCTGCCCCTTCCACGGAAGTTGAAGAGACTGAGGCTGAAGGTAAGAAAAACCAGTTCAACTTCGCTAACATAAGATTTTAGACCTTGGAAAGGCATTCCTGACATAACCTTGTGTCTTGAGACTCCCCGGCCTTTGAACTTCGGCCAGATAGGGATATTACTAGTTAAAAACAAATAACAGAGTTGTGATGCATAATATTTGATGTTTCTAGTAAAAATCAAGAATGTTATCGCTTTTATTGTGTAGATATAAAACTGAAAAACATTTGAAGCTTCAAAAGGTTCTTTATTTTTTGCCCTAAAGATTAAAATAAGTAATACAACCTGACTACCTTATGTGAGAAGCATTGTCTATGCATTACTCTGTCTTAATTTAGTCGGTTACACTATGTTTTAATTTCTGCAGCTCTTGATGAGCTGATGGAAGACGACAGTGAAGATCTTGCTGCAGACTTCGGCCTCGACGAAGAAGATCCACGTCGACGAAAAAGCAAGAAAATGCCATACTTCTCAAAAGGGAAGTATTGTGTCTGCAGCAAGAAACGACAGAGGGGAGATGAAGCAGAGGTATCCGAGGAGGATGTTGAGGACCATATCGACGATGTTGCCGATAATGTCGAAAATGCACTTGCTGATCCTAGACGACGCTGCAGACCAAGCAAAAAGACCTTGCAAAAGGCATTGAGGAGACTAGTAGGACCATTCTTTAGACCTGAAACTCTTGGTTGCTATTGCACGCGAAACAAGGCTGTTGTCAGGTTGGTGTTATTGGTTTATCCATGCAACGGGATTTGAAGAAATTTCAGTACGACCTATTTGAAGTATTGAGGCAAATTTTGTGCCTGTTTAGTCATAGCATCTAGATTAGTAAAACAGCATTTTAAAGTGTCACTGAGTGTTAGTTGATGTGGGTTAGATTCAACTTTAAGTTTTTGAGAGCAAACAATTATCATTAATTCGGTAAGGACAAAAATCTTTCTTTCATTGTCACAGGGCTAGCAAAAACATTTTCGACAAAATGTTATTCTTAAATCGCTGCATCTCTTGAATCAAAGCTGGTGATAATAATTTATCTTCAAGGTTGTTGAACTACTTGCATCTTGCTCACTTCATCCACAACAAGCAGAAGAAGACCTTTATCAGACATGTTAAACATTTGGTTGCTCAAGTCAAAAAACAAAGAAGAATCTGAGCATGCTGGGCATTCATTTGGCGCTTCAAGCCTAACATTTACGTTTTTATTGGAAAACACGACCTTTAAAGGTTCAATCAATACTTAAATTTTGTTTTTACTCCGAGAAGATAAAAGCATCGACATTTTTTGTTAAAACATTTTTAAGATTTTTCTACTGAGAAAACCTTTGTGTATGCACCATGATCTTCAAATTGTACAGAGACCACTGGATACGCTGTGTTTGTTGCTTCATCTGCTACTTACAGAATCAAATTGGGTGTAAAAATGGCAAGAAATGTGTAAGAAGGTTTCTGCTTCTTTGGTGGAGTAATTGCTCATTAGGTATCAGAATGTCTACTAGTTTCAGAGAATTTTTAAGAAAATATTTTGAAGAAAAATAAATTAAGATGATTTGAAGAAGAATAAAAATGGTTCTACATCCTCAACCAATCTGAGGTGGCTATCAACAAACTGTACACCGTATCTGATCTAGTAAAAGCCTACACTTTGATAAACGCCCCCATTAAAAACCGAACTTGTTAAACTAAGTACCACCATCCTCAAAAAAACGCCCAGGGCTATTATTAGAAGCTTTGCAAAGGAGATGAATTTCGTTTCGATTTTGCGCATTGCCCTCGTTCTTGCTAAAGAAACATCATGCTTCAAGGAGATAAAATAAGCCGTGCCATGCAGGTTTGAAAAAATTGAATACCGTCAAACCGTTTGATGACAATAAGAAAGCTAGTCCATTTGAAATGGAAGATATTTCGACGAGGAGGAGCGTTTATTAACTGAAATGGGTTCATATAAAGAGGAGGGCAACTTTAAAAAATAAATTAGATATTGTACTTCTCAGATTTAGCGCAGATTGATTTGAAAAAATATCTTCAATGCAAAAACAATTCTAATAAACGCACCTCTCCAATAGTTGCCCCACCTAAAAGTCATAAATTTTATTAAACGCCCGGACGTTTGAAAGATAAAATATAATACACAATGAGGGATATCATTAGTCTTCCATTAATGCATATAAAATGTAATTAATGCACTTAAAAGCACAAGCATTAACACCGTGCTTTGATTGAATATTTTTGTTGCTATTCAAAGCGTTTTTAAAATATGTTTCTATAAAATAATTCCATGCAACTGTTTTATGAAATAGAACTCAAGCATACCTGAGGAGACCGCAAGTGTCCCCGAAATTTGAAAAAATCGGAAAATTCGTTAACCTTCTTTTCGCTTTTTACGTAATCCATAAATATCCTGGAAAAGCAAGCAATTCTGGTCTATATCAGACACCATTGTCCTGAAGAAGAAATTTTACAACATGCAAAATTGAGCAGCATGTAAAAATATCACTCTTCCAAAGCTAGAAAACATTACTTACATGCAGTGCTGATATAAAAAATTCAGAAATCACATCCTCTGTCGATGCCACTATAAATATGGGTTTGAATGTGTCATTAACTGTAAAGCGATGACCAAAATATTTTGAAAGTCGATTTTCAGGTAATATGCCATCTACAAAAATATAATCAAAAGGCAAAAATAGGAAAGAGACACACAATGGAGATAAACAAGCGGTCCCAATTATCTGAATATTACAAAAAGGTAAGAAAAGTAATTCTGATAAGCATTTGAAGGGGGGCTACAAACTCCAACCCCTATGACTCTGTCAATACTTACATGAAGCATCCATCTTTTAGAGCTTCACCTGCACTTTCTTAAAACAATGAATCTATCATTGGACACTTTGAGAAGTCTTTAGTTGCTGAATAACAAAGTCTGAACTAACTAAAAGTTGACTTACTCAACAAACTGACTCAAAAGTTGACTTGAGCTTTTACAACTGTGTGGGCTGAGAACTGATTTTTAGAAATCTGAGCTTCAAAATTAATGTCATCAACAACATCAGGCAACTATAAACATAAATTTACAGTTGCATGTTTTTCTAATAAACAGATGGATATAGAATTGCTCTGTTAATTTATCTTAAAGAATATTGAATGGTTTCTAGTGTCAAAGCTTAAAACATTAATACAGTCAGATACACACCTCATTAGTAAGTAACATGGAATCTCACTATTAATCCAATAACAAACATCATATGAAATATCAGACACACAAAAATCTGAGAAAAGGACCAAAAATGTCATGCAAGACTTGAAATCCATTCTCACCTAATTCAATTTAATCAATAACTATTTGAATTACAACTTTTCATAATTACAACTATGTACTAAGCACTTAGTACTAAGTATTACAACCTAGTGGTATTACTTAAAGGTTACAAAGACTCTTTTTCTGGTTTGGTTACCCTCTGCTTTTCTTTTTTCTTTATCCATTCTTGGTCAGAAACAGGAAAATTTTCTTTTAGATAAGAGTAAAACTGTTCTACACTTGAAGAACAAATATCAACTGCAAAACTGTGGTTTTTAGCAGTAAATATTTCTTGCAGAGAGAAATTCCTAAGTGCATCTGGGGCAACACTCCTTATGAAACCAATTTTGCATCTGAGCATTACTATTCGCATTTGAAGACAGGTAGGAAACTTCATGACGTCAGCTGCTGTTAGGTCTCCATGTCCTAGAATGAATTGTAGCCTTTCTTCCAAGTTCTCTACAACCCGGTTTTCAATGAATAAAATAGGAGATCTGTTCATCAGGTAGCCAATATTGTCAGCTGTGAAACCCCATGCTTGGAATAACTCTATCCTTTTCTCAACACATGTAGATTCTATGATCATTTTTGGACTGTGCTGTAAAATATTGTGGAGTTCAGCTTGTTCGCCAAGTGTTTTGTATATCCTTTGAATTTTCTCCTTAACATCTTTCTGATCTAGCTGTAAAAATATATCTGGATACTTTTGAATGAAGCTAGCCATGTCCTCTGTGTCAAAGAAAAAAGGTTCATCACCTAATAAGTGAAGTGTTCTAGTAAGTTGCTCTTTATCAGTACTAAAAAGTCTTGGACATTTTTTAAAGATCTCACTGACTTGAACATGTAGCTCCACAGCAAATGAAGCAACTGATGTAAAATTTTCATCAGTCTCATACTTTGTAGACACCGCTCCAAGTGATGTCTTTAACAGGCTCTCAATAAAGCTGCTCTTTCCAGCAGAGCTCTTCCAGCCAGGAAACCCAGTTGCAAATTTCAATGCACTTTTTGCACTATCACTGACATCAAAGCAAATTAATATTGGATTCTGGTTGACTAAGTCAGATACATCCTTTTTCTTTAGTCCTATTGATCCTAAATGTTCCAATTTCCTTACAACATCATTGTAATTGAGACCAAACACAAAAGGAAAGTGCTGGAGCAGACGTGGTACATCAATTTTGAAGGACAAGAATAATTTGAGAAATTTTTCGACATTTTCTGACTCAATGCTCAGAAAACTTGGAAATACAATAGCTATTTTGAGGGCATCTACTTTGCTTAGGCCGTGACTATGAAGAAAGTCATAACGACTTGTCAGCTCTGCATCTGATAATCCTAAAACATGAGCTTGGTTGTTTCTCAATTCGTTGATTAAATCTGAAGACGATTTTTCCTTTGCTTTTAATAAATAACTTTTATCTAAATTCTTTTCATCATTGGGGATTGTGTTAAAAATCCGTATAGCTTCTTGAATAGTCTTGCTTTCATGATTTCTCGCAGACAGCACCACTTCCTCTTGACGTACCGTTGATTCTTTTTTCTTTGAAGTACTCCAGCCCTTGCCTGGCTTTCTTTTTTTCTTCTTCTTTTCATTTCTATAGAAAAAAGGTTTTTCAAAAAGACCTTCCTTGAGGTTCAGCGTATTCGGGGCATAAATAAGAGGAAGGTTAACAGCGCGGCTCAATAATAAACTAGGCCCTTGCGTGGAACCGGCATCCTGTCTCGAGCTGGATGGTAAAGCTCCTTTTACATTTCCAGAACAGTAAGTTTTTAGCAAGATACCCAATCTTGAAGCAAATGGATTTACCGAAAGCGCTCTTATTTTTGCATTTAGGCTCGTTCTTTGCAGCGCCATCATTGCATAACACGCTCCGTGCAGAATTTCCCGAGCTGTTTATGACTATATATAGTTGTTGTTGTTTCTTGGGAAGCAAAAGAGGCGAAGCACAGGGATAACAAATGTGAATTACAATCACTTTTCATATCTTTTGATATGATATCAAAATTATAATTTTGAGCAGCCATGCTTTGTAAAATAGTTTAATTGACAAAAGGAGCTTGATAACGCCAAAACTCTGCAATTCTTGGATACCGAGTCAGCAATAACGGCTAGAATTGATTCAAAACCTCCATTATTTTCATTAAGATAAAATAATAGTTCTATTATTTTATCATGTTTAATTTCATTTCCAACTATATTTCCAGGGTCAACTTGCATTACTTCTTTCATTTTTTCAGTAAAGTTTTAATTTAATATCAGCTGTTGAAACTATTTTTAAGAATTCAACTCTGGTATCCCTGTCCAATGTTAGTCATACACTAAGTACAAGGACTGAATGACTCTTCTTTTTCACATGGCCTTTTTCGGCCAGGAGTGAATACTTCGGCCACAAGAGAAAGGGCATTTTCTACAATACGATGATGTTTGGTCAGGCTCAAACTCAAGATAAACTTACTCGTATTGCTATCATCAATCCTGATCGATGTAAGCCCAAGAGATGCAGACAGGAATGCAAGAAGTCCTGTCCTGTTGTGAGACAAGGTAAGGTCTATCACAACTTCTACGGCCTAAATTCAAGAATATGGAATGCATATTAAGACATATTTACATTATTTATCAATTAAGGTATGTTATTTCATTACCATTATGCTAAGTGATATTTACTGGGAATTTTTCATTCCTTGATTTTGAATGATGATCGTTCGTATTGGATTGGATCAGGCCTAAGTTATATCGTAAAATAGACATTTCACATTGAAAGTCACGAGAATGAGATGTGTGGGATTTGGTTTTTCAGTCATACTTTAAAAATATATACACTCCTTTGCTGTTATATCTTTTCTTGATAAATTTTAGCGCTGCAATAATAACCCTTTAACAAGTTGTAGAAATAGAAAATATCTTGTTAATTCAAATTCAAATTTTCAAATTCATTTTCATTTCAATTTAATTAAAGAAGAAAAAAGTTAACACTTAAAGAAGAAAACAATTGCCTATGGACATTTACGAGTTTGATAAACTACTATCATTAGAAAACAATTTTTATCAATTATTCCAATAGTTATGAAAAGTTTTATTCAACCTTGTCCTTTAATTGAAAAAAACAGTCATTGATTTTTTCAATCTCTAAATTTATTAGCATGATTTTTGTTCAAAGTCAATAGCCTAAAATATATCTTATCAAGAAATATACTTCTTTTGTTTCAGTTAGTCCATTTCTATGCCTCTTGCAATACGTTATGTCAAAATGTTATGGTTTCTCTAAGTTCACCCAAAGTACTATTTGAGTCGAATATTTTAATGCAGGAAAGCTGTGCATTGAAGTGATGCCAACATCAAAACTTGCTTTCATATCAGAAACACTGTGCATTGGTTGTGGTATATGTATCAAGGTTTGTGCATTCACTATTAACAATATTGATGTATGATTCGCCAAATTTTTCTTAAGGTTCAAATTGTATTATATTTATTGGCTAGTGGAACTGATCCTTTCTATGGTTCAATTTTCCCAGATCCCTCTACTTTTCTATTTATTTTGCTGTTTTTCCCTTTATGTACATAAAACTTAGTAAGTGAGTATCCCATTTAACTCTGGTGGGTTGAACTCATCATAGTCAAAGTCAGAATATGGTGTAGTCAAATCTAGATTTCATTGTTATGTAAATTACAACACTGGGTTGTCTTTTTTTAAACTAAACTCGTGTTTTTTGTTGTGGTTCTTTTACTAAAATTTTTCTCAAAACTGTGCTTCCAACCAATGTTTGAAAACACAACTTTTTTTTAAGATATAAATTTCAAAGTTGTACACTTAAAGGAGATCTCTAAAGTGATTAAGGGCATGTTATTCAAAATGACCACCAATTTTCAAACAATTTGTGGTGGTTGTGTTAATGGGTGGTTGAGGTGTTTTCTCATGATCTGAGGGTTTTGAGTCCCATCAGAATCACTTTCACAAGCCCCCAGCCTACTCAGCTGCCCATCCTTTTGAGGTTGGTAAAATGAGTACTAAGGTATTAACTCTAGAATATTACTCTTGGGGCACAAGCCACAGATCCACATGCTTGTTTGCTTGTTAATATGTATGATAATTTTATACTCAATCTGGCTTGTACATTTATTTGTTTGTTGAAGCAGATGAGAAATTTTTTCTTTTAAAAGACATAGATTTGTGGATATGCTATCTGTTTTTCGCATATCTACATTGCCACACAGCATAATTATCTGCTGCCTTTAATTTTTAGAAATGTGTTTTCTCTTACAAACAAATTAATATATTTTTCCATCCATACTGTGTGGCCAATACTAAGGCTCTCACAGATTCCTTGATACCTGCCAAACATTTGATTATGTCAAATAAGTAGTCCAAAGCAGTTAGCTCCATTTACCTTGTTGGATGTGTATGTCTCGAATGATGCTTCTTGCTGCCTATTACATACAATATACATCAGTTTCCAGCTACCTTTTTACCATGGCTTTAAAAAAGAAGTGTGCATGATTTGTAATGGCCATCTCCCTGACCAATGCCAGCAACTTTTGTTGTGTCATTTTGGATTCTGTTATTTTTTGGAAGCAGACACTATTTTATTCCTGATAATCAATTACTGACAATTAAGTGTATATACCTGATAATTGAATTAAATGTTATGTCTTATGTTAACATGTTTTCTTATATTTATGATGTGACAGAAATGCCCATTTGAAGCTGTAACAATTATCAACTTGCCAAGCAACTTAGAAAAGGACACCACACATAGATATGGAGCAAATTCTTTCAAACTTCATAGGTAGTACCTGTTTATTTATCGCCATTAAGGATATATCACTGTTGTATGTTGTTCTATAAGTCTATAATATCTTATGGTTTATCTCCTTATAATTTATATTAGAAAAGTGAGAGATTTATGCCCTAATTTTTAAGGCAAACTATTAAGTCCTGCCCATTGTGGCAAGCAACCATGTAAATATATGAAATCACACCCCTCTGGGGAAGAAAGGTAAAAATAGACAAACAAGAAAAAAGATAAAAATGCTTCTCAAGTATCTAACACTTGTTAATTGTTTCTCACCATTTTAATGATCTTTATTTTACCCGTATTTTGATTTATATTTTTGGATGAATTGACAAAATCCTAATGTGAATATATAATAAGTATTTATTATGTGTATGAATAATTAGTATTTTCAGTAATGGTTGAAACATTTATTCTTTGAACATAACATTTAAAGTATTGTGTTTAGTAGCTAGTGACTTGGTATTTTACAGGTACTGTGTTTCAAAATTATTCGCTGAACCTTTGCATGTCTTGTTTTCCAATCAGTATCAATTTCTTTATAGGCTGCCAACACCGAGACCAGGAGAAGTACTTGGTTTGGTTGGGACCAATGGTATTGGCAAATCAACTGCTTTGAAGATTCTAGCTGGGAAGCTAAAACCTAATCTTGGTCGATTCGGGGTGGGTTTATTTATTGCTTATGGTCTAATATAAATATGTTTTTGTTTCAATCAACATTGAAGATGATGCTAGAGCTTGTGTGCAGATGGCAGCTGATAGAATAAGAACTATTGGGAAAAGGAAATTTCTTGTCTAGGCAAGGTTTTTTGCTCAAAACTTTTAAACAGTCAGACAATATTTCATGGATCTAAGCATTATATAATTTTTGATTGTATTCCTTTGTTTGTTAAGTTTATTATAATCGTTTACCATATTTGGTTTCTAGGTAAACCAATAAATATCCATGAAGTAAAGGAAGCCAAGTTGGTCTTTGGTCATCCTAAATCTTTCCTGATCCCTCTTCTTTTTACCAAAAATACCAGAAAACAGATATTGCCTTTCCCATTCAGCTGTTATATATCTATATATAAAGCTATCTATCTTGCCATAAAAATTTTGAAGGTTTGAATCATTCCTAGTATCTGTTCAATATTTGATGAAAAAGCCACTTGTTAACAAAGCCACATCTGACAGCATTCCACAAAATCCACCTAAGATGTTTATTTGATTGCTTTTCATTCCAGGGTCCACCTGACTGGTCAGAAATTTTGCAATATTTCAGGGGCTCAGAATTGCAAAATTATTTTACAAAAGTTTTAGAAGATGATCTTAAGGTGAGAAAAAATAAATTTCTTACTAAGATTTTCAATGACCTGATTACCGCATGGCATGCAGTCCACTTTGTTTCATAATTTGTTTATAGTTACAGCTAGAAAAACCATAAATTTTATAATATTTTTATTGGCTATTGAAATCTTTTAACATACCCTACAAGAGTTTAAATATGAAACACTTGTGACAGGATTACATATAGGATTTGAAAATTTGATTTAGCATTGCATATTATTTGTTTTTAGGCAATCATCAAACCTCAATATGTTGATCAAATTCCAAAAGCAGTACATGTAAGTAATAATGCCTTCTCTTGTCTAAAACAGGTTCCTTCTTTTTTTAGTCAACTTATCTGTTTTCTTTAGTCAGTGTAGTTTCAATTATGACATAATTTAGTTATAATGTAAAAAATTAACAAAAAGGTGGAATTTGAAGCATCATAAATGACTTTTATTGGTATTTTATTTGACTTTTATTATGTTCTTGAAAGCTATAGTCCAGCCATTCTTAACCTCTAGGTGGCAACAAGATTTCATCCGACCTGCTTGTACTCTTACCTCAAAAATACTTTTGGCTTTCACTTTCAAAATTTGGAATTTGATTTAGTTTTGTATTTTCTGTTCTGCTCTTATATCTTCTTTATCCCTGCAGTTCATGATAATATGTGTCCTGTTTACCAGTTATTGGTCTATTGGTCTGAAAGGAAGTATCAAAATAGGAAATATTTTATCATTTGAACAATTTATAGAAAAATACTAATCTGCTTTGACAGAGTTGAAATGTAAAAAAATTAAGACACAATTTCTAAACACCATCATCATTTATTTCAAGTGGTTGTTGACATAGACAGCATGACCTGACACTTTCCTCCACTTTGTGCGATCCAAGGTCCAAGGCCAGATATCTTTAGTTCATGTAGCTCATGCCTTTGCATGTGGCAGCATTTGTGGCTGGGGCTTTAGGGTATAGAATATAACACAAAATAACAGGCCTGCCTATCTTATCTCATATTTAGCCTGGTAAATATGAGATTTGAATTTAATTTTGAGCAGCTCTTAAGAACTCCTGGCTATAATCCTTTGATTAGATGGTTGGTTGTGGTGGTGCTTATATCTTTATGTGTTTTGAGATAGGGGGTTTCAAATTAAATACATTAAAGTAGTAGTAAAAATGATATAGCTTTCTTACTGAGAAATGCACCATAAGAACATGGTTTGTGAAAACTATTTAATACAAATTACCTTTCTCATACCTCAGACAGATTTCCTTTTCAATACAAAAGATGTGAGAAATCCATTTTCCAAAGATCTTAAACTTATGTCGTTTTATATCCATTTTATCAGGGGAGTGTCCAGGTAATGTTGGATAAGAAGGATGAAAGAGAGTCGCAAGAAGAAGTGTGTACACTTTTCGGTAGGCGTTGTTTAGTAAGCATTTATTAGCTTGCAAAAAGTTATGAATTTTTCAAAACTTCTTTGCAGTGACGGACACTTGGGGGGGGGGCGAGGGGGGGCGACCGTCCCCTCCAATACTTGAGAGGACAATGGTATTTTGTTCTAAAACAATGGGAAATGTGACGTCATCTTATTAAAACAATAGCCCCCCCCCAATATTTGTCCGCCCCTGCTTCTTTGTTATCAACAACATTGTGTATTGGATGTAGTATCAGATGAGCCAAAGATTTTAACATGGCAAGTACTTCCAAACTATTTGTAACTTAACATGTGTTATTTTTAAGGGTTTTATTGCTAGATTTACCATTTCTTTAAGAGCGCTAGACAGTCGATAATTTTCATGAAAAACCATTTTCCGCTATTTTTCATTGCTTTTTGCTTCGAAAAAAATTTTATAAGATTTTGTAGTCAAGATCAAAGTTAATATATTTTGCAATATAATTGTCAAAAATATCTAGATAATTAGACTTTTAGGGGTTTGCCTCTTTGTAACAAAACAGGGTTCGTTGAAAAAGGCTTAAAGATTGTATTTAAAAGGCTAACTTTTACATTTGAAATAAAAACTTTCTACCGACAGTGTGTCAAACTCGGAAATTAATGTGTCGTTTGCATAGTTATTTTTGTTTTCCAGATCTGAACAGCGTTCGTGATAGGAATGTAGATGAGTTGTCCGGAGGGGAGCTTCAGCGTTTCGCCTGCGCAGTTGTGTGTATTCAGCAGGCAGATGTGTAAGTATCAGTATTCAATCATTTGATTTGCATTGACGACGTAGCTCCGGCTAAGTGGGCTTCTAGGACTTGAAATAAACGGAGAGCTTAAGGCCTTCTTACAATGATTGTGATCTGAAGAAAGAAAATACTTCTTTTAGCCATCATTTCAGCAACATTTGATGTCTCTGGTAATCTGCTATAGACATCAAAACTTTTGTTCTCTGAGTCACCAAGCTAGACTCTAAAGTTGCCAGCAGTCTTTGCAGCGTACATTCCAGAGTTTTTTCCTCAATACAGCGGTCTTTGCAGCGTACCTTCCTTAACTCCTATCCTGTTTCCAAATGATCTCGATCTTTTGCAGTTACATGTTTGACGAACCATCGAGTTACTTGGATGTCAAACAAAGGCTCAAAGCTGCTGTTGCGATCAGAAGTCTTAGTCATTCTGACAAGTATGTATTTCTTCGTTCTCATTCATCAGTTTTGCACTATTTTCTGCTTGAACGTTTAGTATAGGAAATCCCTCAAACCTTCTTCACTTTAGAGGAGAATTCTTTAGATTGAGGACGTCCCTTCACAATTGCAATGTTTATTCATGGTGCAATGATAAGTTCTCCGATGCGCTTTTGTCTGTTCTTCTGCAATCCAATTACACAACCAACCCGTATTATCCTCCTTAATGCTTCTCTTTCCCGGTTCCCACTGTTAATTTTTTAATAGCATATTTTAATGATGTTCTTTTTACTTGATTTATTTCCCTTTCAGATATATTATTGTTGTTGAACACGATCTGAGTGTGCTGGACTACCTATCTGACTTCATCTGCTGCTTATATGGAACTCCCGGAGTCTACGGTGTAGTCACTATGCCCTTCTCTGTGCGTGAAGGTAAGTTGCTCCTCATTGGCTGATCTATCTTCCAAGTCCTCGTTTTCTTTTTCTGATACTGTAGTAGAGACAAATGCCATCTACCTTGTAACCAGGCGTTTATTTAGGCGTTTGGGTTAACATCCCTATCTAAGATCATTAATAGTAAAGCTAACACTTAGGAATGCTAATTATGGCAAGGAATGGTTTTCATTGTTGATAGATATGAAGGTAAAAGTTCAAGTTTGGACGAAACCGACACATGCAAGTGTAACTAACGAACTTCGATTGTTTGTTTCTAAAGATCGGTGTGGTTATTTCTGGCTGTTGTTTGCTCATACCTGTCATTTTTGTGGCTTTTTTTCTACAGTGTGCAGTTCACATATTTGTTTTTTATTCTTTGAGCACTTAAATTGTCTCTTTTAGGAATAAATATATTTCTGGATGGGTTTGTTCCAACCGAAAACCTGCGATTCAGGGAAACTTCTCTGACATTTAGAGTATCTGAGACTGCCGAGGTGACTTTCCTCTCATTTTTCAATTTCACGATCTCTTCCAGCGACAATGGTCTATTCGTCCTTTTCTTGCCTCATTGCTATTCAGATTGTTGTTCTAAAGTTACTGCAAAGTTATTAGAAAATACTTTTTCAGTCAAATGAAAAGCTTCTTTTGGCACCGCTTCCTTCTTAGCTTTTTGATGATTTGATGTGAGTGACTTAGAATCTTGTTTCAGGAAGAAGAAATGAAGAGAATGCGTCGCTACAAGTACCCAAATATGACAAAAGTTCTAAGTATGTTCACTTCATATTTATGTGTTAAGAGATTGTTTTATAGTGTCCCTTCACTCGGAAAAATTGTCCCCTTATCAAATAAACCCGCGTCTCAGCTTCTTTGAATTAATATGAATCCAGGGGCATCATATTGTTAAATATAATTTTGATCAAATAGGCACAGAGATTTAAGCACTTAACTGTTTCAAGTTTTATATGAAGTTGGCATTGAACTTTGGATCGTTATAATTTTTATCTGAAGAGTGGTTTCATCTTATGCATTTTTCTGCATATTTGAATTAATAATTTGATAAGGTGCACATGAAGGTCCTTTGAACATTTTTAGAGACCCAGGTGAAGCATTTTTGTAAACCTTTCCTGTTAGATATGAGCTTATGTAAGGGCATGTGAAGCAACCGTGCGTTTAGTATCGCAATTCTGAAAATACAACAGAAAGGGAAACAGAACATGCGAAAGCACATTTGTCCCACATTCCGGAGTATGAGTGTCGGATAATGACCTAAAGGTAAGCTCAAAGGAAAGGCAAAAAGAGATGCAAAGAAAAGTGCTTAATTATGTTATATTTTCGCTTTTTTGTGCCATTTTCGAATATGTGTATCATGAAAGCTTTTTAAAGATAGCAGGGTTCTTAAAATTATTGTGTATAAAAATGGTTTTCCTCCTCCGACTCTCATCAGGTTAGAAATTTTTTATACTGACCAATAAGGTCTTATCTATGGTCCACTTGTTTTGAAAGTGCTCTCTCTTTTCCTGGGTCAACAGCGTAACGAGGATAGGTGGCTAGTTTTGTTTCGCTATCTTGTTTTAACCGTCCCAATGTTGCCACTGCTGTGTGAAAACAAACACAAGCTAAAACTGAAAATGCTGGATGGACGGGAAGGAGCATTTAAATCAGGGATCAAGCCTTGACTCGAACCTACAACCTTTTGCACTGTAGGCAAGCGCTCCAGGTACTTGGCTAATTCACCGTATGACTAATTATGACGAATAAATGGCTAAATGGTATGCCCAAAGATGGATCAAAAACGTTAAAGTAGGCAAACCTTACAGGAAATTTCGGAAGGAAAAATGAAAAACAATCCCACACAAACAAGCACTATCTTAATATCACTCTGTTAAAGATCTACCTTAAAACATCATCAATATTATCAAAAAGCCCCCATTCAGTACAGTAAATAGGTAATGTTCTAGGCCTGGCTGTATGTCCTCATATATTGAAACAATTTCTGTTACACAATTAACTTGCTTTACGACGAAGTCCTCATATTATGTTTGCAGAGAAGTTCAAGCTTGTTGTTAACGAGGGTGAATTTACCGATTCTGAAATTCTGGTTCTTCTTGGAGAAAATGGTGAGTCCTGTTTAGATCTTAGAGTGCTTATCGTCTCTGTGAGTCATCTTTTGTGCTAAATTGCAGTCCCAAGAATATTTTACAGTTTTTCTGCTATTATTCATAATACTTCTCAGTTTAAAACCTGCAGATTTCCTTGCAAGACTTTTAATTATATGCCCTTCTCGATTTTACTTTTTTGGTATTAGTAATATTATGATTTTAGGAACTGGTAAAACCACGTTCATCCGGATGTTGGCTGGAATTCTTGGACCTGATAACGACGGTATGACCTGGTGTTCTGCAAACATATTTGCCTGGGAATACCTTCAGATTTTGTTGTAATAATTGTTTCTGCTACTTATTCATAACAATGTAAGGTTTGAATTTTTTCATTTTTTATAAGATACCTTAGTCTTTTACAGTTGCCATAGCTATGATACAAATGTTAATAGATATTAGTTCATAAAATTTAGAATGAATTGATGATATCCAAAAGTTCTAGTTTTAAAATGCTATGTTTCGAGTTTTGGCAAAGGTAGTCAAATTTAATCGTCAGTTATTTTAGTGATTTATTAAAATCAGAGCTCAGTACTCTTCTGCTGGATGTATAGCGTCAACTGAAGACTTTGAAATTTTTATTAGTTTATTCAAGTAAAATTTTCAAACTTTTTAGTCGACATTCCTCAGCTTAACGTGAGCTACAAACCGCAAAAGATCAGCCCGAAGTCTCAAGGGACTGTGCGAATGCTGCTGCATGCAAAGATTCGAGACTCCTATATTCATCCCCAGTTCATTGCTGACGTCATCAAACCTTTGCAAATTGAGAGTATCTTTGATCAGGAGGTATGCTTAGAACATATACTTGTTTTTAATACAGGCTTATCATTTTCCATTTGAAATGGCTGTTGAGTCAGGAAAAATTTTGAGAAAATGTAAAATAAACTTTTATTAAAAAAATAGGAATTTAAAAAGTACCAAAAGTGAAAAGTCGTTGATATTGAAGCAACCTAATTTTTGTTTTATTTCGTTATTCTAATATTTATTTCGTTACACTTGTTTTCAAATATTGAGCTCAGCTGAAGCCACTTAAAGAATTTTGTATTTTGATATGTTAATGTGTAGCATGTATGAAATTATTTCATTCAGTAAAGAAGGAAACTGATAGTCGGAAAGTAAAAACATTTTTTGAAAGGATAGTTGCTACTTTTTCAGCTTCTGTATATCAAGGATTGGAACCTTTTTATGATTTTGGACGAAAGGACACTCTCAGTGAATATTTGTTCCTTCTCATCCGTTGATGTTCTACAATTCCATGGAATGTTTATTCTTTGGTTTTTTTCCAACACAGGTGCAAAACCTTTCCGGTGGTGAGTTACAAAGAGTGGCTCTTACAATCTGTCTCGGAAAGGTAATTCTTGACTCAGCTTACTTCAGAATCCAAGTAGCCTTGTGTAACCTTGTTTCTTGATCCTGTTTTTGTCTTATTTGGTTCACTTTTGCCTAAAAACATCCTATACGACAGTGCTGATTAAAGTTATTTTGATGACAACAATCTGCATGTTGATAATCTGGATGCGCTGCAAAAAAAGTAAGACCTTAGTGATCTATGCAAATAATTCTAAAAAGGCTATTGCAGGTTCATTTTTCTGTGTAATATTTTCAGTTATATTTCGAATCTTGCAGCCGGCTGATATTTATCTTATTGACGAGCCCTCTGCCTATTTGGACTCAGAGCAGCGTCTTCATGCTGCCAAGGTTATCAAAAGGTATTTTCTTTGATATAATCTGCATCTTTATTATTCCTGTTTATATATACAATTTATCAGACACTTTTGACAGTCACATGAACATTTTTAAATAGATCGGAAATCAGGCAGAATAGGCACAGCCTCCTAATTTTACGTCGATTGCACATAATTATTTTGGTCAAGCTGAATGTTCCTTTGAAGTTTGAGACTTGTTACATTGAATGGACTTTAGGGTGATATTCGTGAGTGTTTGAGTCAAACTTATTCTCAAACTGTAGGTTTTATAATTATCATCATCGTCATCATTATTTGCAATGTATTTAATTTTAAATTTCTTTGATTCTAATATTGTATGTTTCCCTGTGAACTCGCGCTGTTTCTGCGTGCTCTTACAGCTAACGATTTCTTTCATTAAAAAGTTTAAGAAATTCAATTTTTCTTAAAATTTAAGATAAGTAAAATTCCCTTTTCTCTCGTTTGAATTAATTTAGTCCCCTTTCTACTACGCTGCGCGCCCAATTCTCAAAATGATTTTGCTTCTGAGTATTCCAAAAATGACTCAAGATTGACCTTGGTTACTGCCAATTTGTAAGAACTGACTGTTTCTCTCCCTAGATTCATCTTGCATGCTAAGAAGACAGCATTTGTTGTGGAGCACGATTTCATAATGGCTACCTATTTGGCAGATCGTGTTGTTGTCTTCGAGGGTGAACCTTCTGTTTCAACACTGGCCAACAGGTGTGTCACGTGCTAAAGATTCACCTTCAACATAACCTGAAATATTTGTTAGCAAACTTGTGTCTGGTCTAGTATATCGTTTGCAAAAACGTTATCTATAAGAGTGATGGCTTTTGCATGGTACAGATGCATGTTTACCAGACTTGGCTGTAGGCAATGTAATTCGGCTTTCCTGTCTTTAGAAATTAAAAGCTTGTTTTCATATCGTATTTCGTCCTACTCCCTCCCATGTCTGAATTCAACAAATTTACGATATATGAAACCTAGACGTCGTATTCTATTTCTCTTCATCCGAGGAAATTGTCTCCCATAAAGAATAAGTCGTGGTTTAAGTTATGGGGAATATTCTGGCCTAAATAGGCCTGGCCTAAAGTCGAGCATGAAACAAAATGGGTTCAAGTGTGATCAAATAAAGACTTTGGTTTATAATTAATGAACGATAAAAGTTATACATATATAAACAGAGTAAGGACTCAGCTCTCACTGCTTTCACGTTCGTTTCTCTACTTGATTAAAAACACATTTTTTTATTAAAACTTTATACTCCCAATAACTCAGAATTAAGAAATGATACCTCTATCCCTATAAAGGTAAAAAGTCTATCCATTTTCTCCCAAAACCATGTTCAAAGTTGTTTAAGTCGCCTGCCAGTCAATGTTGAAGCCCAGTTTCTTTCAGTCGTCTTTGAGCAGATAGGACGACATTTGCTCCCCTCGACCTTTTTATAGAAGGTAGATAACGTTGTTCATTCTTCCTTGTGTGAATGGTTTGTAGAACTTTTCTTGTTTTTTGCTGAATACGTGGTTTATTTTATTTTTTACAAGAATGTGTTTAGTTTTTCACCTTGAGAATTTATGAATTTTTTTCCGATTTTCAGCCCGCAGTCTATGTTGTCTGGAATGAACAAGTTTCTGCAGTCTCTGGATATTACATTTAGACGTGATCCAACAAACTTCCGACCAAGAATCAACAAACTCAACTCTGTTAAGGTATGTCTTGCTTTTTCTATTAATATCTTGATATTTTTTAACTATATGCAGGACATATCACCAGGGCCGTCACTGGCGGGGGGGGGGGCGAGGGTGCAGCAGAACCCCCCCCCCTAGAAAATTCCTCTCGGCAAACTTTCGAAAAGTAGTTTTGTCGGGTTTTGTTTTTTAAAGTTCCCAAAGCAATAGCTTTAGCAAACAGTGGGGATGAGATGAGGACAAGACCGAAAAAGTATCACCCAAAAGCCCTCAGCAATTAAAAATGAGCACAGATAGCGCTATGGATATCACGGAGAGGCAAGCGTCCCCCAGAAATTTCAAATGACTCACTGTCGGCAGCCGGGGTCTAGAACCTAGCAGACAATTGTCGGCATATCAAGAGCCACCAAATTTCTACCTAAAGTTTGAGGAAAAGTGAAAGTTTATTGAAAAACTCTGAACGCCGATCCTGGAGGTAATGGAAGCCTCTGTGGACAGGACCGCCGAGAGGAGGAGCAAGGAGGCAAATTCCCCCAGGGCCTTGAGGTCTAGGGGGCCTTGAGGTCTAGGGGGCCTCATAAAATAATTAATTCCATTTTAAGAGTAGAATTAATGAAACGTTGCAAAAAGTATTCCTAAAAATGGTAAAACGTTCTAAACGATTGTCGGAAATGATTGCAAAAAATATTCTGAAATGCATTTAAGTAATCTAAAGGGCGTGGTCGTGAAACATTTCTCGCCTTTTGGTCCCTCCCAAAGGCCCCCGAATCCTTTCGGTGGCCCTGCCTCCGAGATTTGCTCATACAAAGTAAGGTTCTATTTCAACGTGCTGAATTATCTGAAAAATGAGGGTATCTCATTGCTGAAAGCTTGACTTCTAGAATAGAATCAAAAAAGGTACTCTCGGGTACCCCGGCAAAGGAATTTACGACACGAAAATCGAAGCAATGATTGGCTGACGGGAACATACACATTGATAAATAAAATAAACTGCGTCAAAATGCCACACCCAAAAAATTTTTTATTTTAGGCAAATTGGTGACTGGCACCCCCCTTAAGTGTAAGTGTTTAGCGACGACCCTGCATATCACTATCTCATGTCAATTCCCTCACACAAAAAACAAGGATATCTTTGCACACTAACACACCCAGATTTTGAAGATTTTAAAACATACCTCTTCACGTAAGATGGTCTCCGTTAGTAGATACTGTAGTTTCCAGATTCACACTGGCAAAAATTACCGATAATTTTATATTCTCGTGTGATTTATTGTAATATTTGAATTATCGAAATTTGAATGCCTGCCACCATCAAACCTCAAACGATCAAAAAGCAAAGACCTCATGGGGTATCTGGCTGAAAACTATGAAATATAATAGAAAAACTGACTTCATCTCGTTCAAATGGACCACGATTGTACAAGCAAGTTAATTCGCATGAGGCTGCAACCGAAAAGTTCGGAAATTTTTCCGGGAAGTTTCGAAAGATTATTGATGAAAATTTTCGCACAGGCAAAAATTTAAATGTACCCTGAAGAGATCATATGAGAGCATAAAGTTTTCGGTCAATCCCATGGGAAGAATTTTGTTTTTCTGAGTGCAAGTTTTATTTGAAAATGGCAAAGAGAAGGATATGAATCAGCAGAAGAGTATCGATATTTCGTTAGGTTAATTTATTTCTAGTTAGACATTTTGTAGCATAATACTTGCAGCAGGTATCAAAATGACTTGTTTTTTCTTGCAGGATTCGGAGCAGAAGAAAAGTGGTAACTTCTTTTTCATGGATTCGGACTCATAAATTAAGGGAAGCTGATCTAAATAGCAGAAATACTGTCAAATTCGTTGAATTTATGTTGGTGGTAATATGCTATATCTAAAGATGTCGATTTATTGTCGCCTTTTCCTTTTGTATGCGGTAAACTAATGCGACCTGATCGCTGCTGTTCAGAGTCACTTCTTTTCATGTAGACTTTCAGTTTGAAATTGCATTTGTAGAAAAGTCGTTTCAAGGCCTACATCGTTTTCCAGGCTTTTTAAAAGGAATTATTTGTCTAGATTAATACACAGTGTTATCTAACCAGCGAACGAGGTGTGCTCTTCTGTTTCTTCTCCGTAATCCATTACTTGGTAACCCATTATCCCTATTCCAACTGCGCATAGCTTAACGCTTTAAAAGACACCATCTATTTGGAATATTTTTAACTTATTCCTTTCCAACTTCGCCTTTTTCAAGTCTTAATCCGGTATACTTTATATGAGTCCCCACTGCCCACAAAGGATGAAATAAATGCACGCAAATTGTTCGAGTGTCTAGGGAATTCAACCAGTACGACGCGTATACTCGATGCATGCCATTCCGACTCCTTTGAGAGGTTTTGTTGCAAACACTTGAAGCGCTGTTGCCTTCAAATAAGAAGCAATCTTTGTAAATGCTACCACTGACACCTTGTAGTTGATTTCATTTGACTCGCTACTTGCTTTCTTGCTTGCTTGTAAAGAATGGCCTAAAGTGAAGGCATTCCTCTGTATGAAAGACCTTAACCCTTAATGACAATGCCGTGGCTGTTTTCTTTGAGAAACGTGCCTATGTTCATAACAAGGTGCAGTCGGTAGTAAATTGGACGAGTAATGGTGGAGAGATATTTGAATATGGATTCGCAAGGAAGAGGAAATGCAACGAAAAATAAACTCGTTAAAGCGGTAGGTCGTATTGATATTTTGAATGTTATTTCTTAAGAGAAACAATTAATATTAATGAAGTATTTAGGAGTCTGAGCACTACAACTGTCATATTGAGAAGAAAGTTGATATTATTTCGATATGAAATGTCGCTGTATGCAAATATCGTCTGAAGGAAGGATGATTACAATCGAATTGCAATATTGGATTTCAATGAGCAAAAGAATGACAAGATTTCATGTTAATTTACGTAGGCTAAACATATTAACTTTAAGATTCCATAATGCACCGATTCACTGCTGTGCAGTGGTGGGGTGTTCAAGTTCTTGTGGCAAGAGATTTTTAACAAGTGGCCTTGTTGGAAACCTCCCGCTTCAAAAATAAACAAATTTAGAAGTGCTTTCTATGTTCTTTGTCCGTGTTTTTCTTTTGCCCTGGGCCTTAATTTAACAATTATTCTACAACGTTCTATACACAATGCTAAAACTATGCTAAAAATCGATAGCCATAGAGTCTACGGCCCTGCGAAGCTCACAACTACTTCTTCTTGTGTTAAAACCCATACATCTAACTGATTTAGTTTCGCACTGAGCTGTTTCTTCAGGATTGGCGCCCAGTAAGTAACTGCGCAGCATTTTGGGTCACAATTTTCACAAACTGCTGACATGATGAACCTTGGCAACCGTTCCGGGTCTTCAGTAATTCGCATAACATGCGGACATCGTTTTCGGTATGAAGAAAGCAGTAAGGAGTTGCAGGCGGCCTTGGCTTGAGGAATAGCTTCAAGGGATTCTTCTTTGAATAAGGAATATCCACGTCGTTGAAGCTTTTTCACCAGCTTCCCTAAACTGTGTTCTTGGCATTGCGTTCCACGTGCGCTGTCCCACTTTTGAAAACAAAATGATATATTTTCCTCTTTTCAAAATTTTTATATATAAGTACTATAAAATTACTGAAATTCAAGAAAATGTATTTAATCGCCCAAATCAAACTTAGAATGGTGATAAGATTGGGTTAATTAAAAGAATGTTTTCTTCGAAATGCTTCTATTTTTTACAGAATCTCCTAAGTTTAAAAAAAATGCAAAAATTTAAACCCGCTCGATTTATAATGCACAAGGCAGGAAACTTCTTTCATTCCAAGGAGCTGAAAATTACCAAACATCAAAACTTGAAATACAAAACAACATAGACTACCAAGATTAATTTTTTTATAAAACAAACAATCTCACCATCACAAAGACTGCTACAGCCAACAAAATCATTTTCACCTCCATATTGACACGTAATTCTTGCTTTTGAGCCAGATCTGTAGCCTACCTTTGACGCTAATGTCCCTCTCTCCACCTCAGCTTTGCCAGACATTCTTATAAGATTCATCAATTGTTTGTTTTCGTACCATCTGAATGTCTCTGATGGTCTTCTGAAAGCTTAAGCACAGCAGCCTCTTTTTCCTATTCATTTTCATTCACTGAAACTTGAAGCTTCATAGAACATTTCAATAGAACCACTCGTCACTTAATATTAAACAGACTGTAATTAACTTTGAAATGTGATGCAAAGAACGGTGCTTTTGGTGTATCGCGTTGGTCTTCAGACTTCGGTTTGTAAATCTTTTTCCACTTTGCTAGCAATTTCGCGCCCACTCTTGATTGCTACTTGGGCGTGTCCATTGTTTACTTTTCATTTTTATTGCAAATTTTAAAGTTTATAAAGTAAACATCACTACTTGACCAATAGAAAAAACAGCACTGGTTTCACTTAGGTACTTAACCGAGGTCAACAAATCGATTTGTACTTCATAGACAAGGGCAATATTTCTTTCGTCTTGTAACCTTGGCATGACCTGAATCTCGAGTTGAGTGGGCTTGCAACGAAATCTCGGCCAGATGGGTTTTGGCATGCTTACAAACATGGAACACCGTATTCAATCAAGTAATCATTTATCAGTTCAACTTACATTTTCTCCTTAAACTCTACCTAATAATTGTATGATTCTCTAGTCTGACATGAAATGTTTAGATGAGGGAACTTCCAGAAGAAATACTCGAAGCAACCAGAAATGCTTTTTACCTTTAGTTGCCTAGGTATTCTTGCTTCCTAGATACAGGTAGTAAGAGAACTAGAAACAAACATTGCCTTTCAATACAGATGAGAAGATATTGTCATTTATACCATTCTAAATGATTAACCGTTAGGGGCGAACTAGGATTAGAGGCCAAGAAAAAATGCCGAGCAATAAACATACCAATGATAAACGGGTAGAATGGAAGGAAGTTTTAGAGAAAATACCAGACAATCGTAAAACATTTACACTTCATGTATCACTCAATACCTGTAATAAACACGTAAGAATGTTAAGTTAATTTCAATATCATATATCTAAAAATGTAAATTATATAGCTAACTTTTATATTGTATAAGTACGCTGAACACCACTTTATTAGACGTTTATCAAGTTCGTAATCGTTTTCTCACCTCTAACAAATAATGACGCTTATTTATAGGAGTGATTGCTAAATAATGGTTCTCACGGAAAGGACACCGATATAGAATAAAAGATATGTTGAAGTCGTACAGAACTTAAGAATCAAATTCTATAGTAACTTAAGACTTAGGAGCAAAACCCCATATCATTCCATCTCCTGGCCGAGAAAGTTTTACTGCAAAAGTCTTGAAAGCTTGAATAAATACCAAACGGAAACCTTCAATGCTAAATCTTCTGGTTTGACTTCGTTTTTCATAAACACATTAACCTAAGGCCATTGATTGATATAAAAATTTGTTTGATTTTGCGTTACGTCGGGGGTAGTGTCGGTCGAATCTCAGATGTTTATAAAAACAGGCTTCGTCTTCTGTTATATGGCTCTCTGTCACTACCTCGCCCCGGTATTTGCTTCATTTCAACGGTAAAGGACCTAGTTATTGGTACATACTGAAAGATAAAAACTTAGAGAAGGATCTTCTCAAGTTCTTAAAGGGTTTAACACCCCCACTTCAAAATCACCTTAGATTGAAGAAATATTCTGTTCTCTCTGCTATCCATGAGTTTTCTTTTAGAACTAAAAACAATTTTGCTTAAGAAATTTATCGCAATATTACAGTACTGTAATATTTAAATCAAAATACCCCTCTATTTAAAAATAAGAAAACCTTACTAAAATATTCACCTGCTACCTTAATGGAAATCAAGTGCATTGGCGATCTTACAGTTATGTGCAAAATAATATCTGTGAAACAATGAAATGTACAAAATAACGTCACACGTTTTGATCAAAAACTAAGGCTACAAAAAATGGAAGAAAAACTCAGGGTAAATGGAATTCAGAAAACCTTTCTAACCGTAACGAAACAAATTGTTTTGTTTCCTCCGTTCTCCTCGTAGCTCACAGATTACAAAAATCATTACGCTATCGCTCTTCGATCCCTGGAACAAATTAAACAAACTAAGCAAAAAGAAATACATAAATTGGTTATTTTCATAATCAGGATAATTAGTAAACCATTAAATTCATAAAGGCAAAACTTCGTGGAGTCCTTTGAGCTCAGTGGTTATAGGGGGTCTTGCTGGTTCGGTTGCTGTCCCTTTATCATTGGTGATCCTAAACCTTAATTTGTGTGAAACAGAATATCCTTCATTGGCTTCCAGTTGCGTTAGAAGAATGACAATTTGTCTAAAAGGACCAATAAAACAGAACTGTCAAACGTAACGTATAGCATGCAAAAAAATAAAGCATAAAAAATCCTAGCAATGTTTTAAAGTGCAGATTACATCCTCCTGGTAAGAAAGAAGAAGTATATTGATTTCCGCATTCCTTTTTACGCTGTGCATCGTATATCACTGAATTTGATACCTTGCTGAGCTTTGAAGTAAAAAAACAAAAAAACGAAAACGAATTTAAAAACAAAAAGAATTCTTAAGGAAGGAACAAGAATGAAATCGTTAAAAGAGAACTAAAGTTTGCTTGTCCAACAAAACGATCTTTATATTGATCTTTGTCAAGGATGCTTTTCTTTATGACGATCTATACATTGATCTAAAGGGATAAATTTCTAATCGCAGCAGCATTCCGGAGGATCTAAACTGAGCGGATCTAGCCGGTTTTCCCTAAGGAGTGACCTTGAAAACATTTTAGTATTGCCTTTAGTACTACAGTTTTGGTATTTGTTAAGATCAGTGTAGTCATGCCTGTAATACTCCCAATTGCATCGTCATTGTAATTGTCAAATTATACGCTTTTAGATTTTGCATGAAAGATTCCGAAGGATACAACGAACGAAACATGAATTTGAAAAAGTTCAGGAAAATTTTCCAGTCTGTTTGGGAATGATTCAAATAACTTCGGGAAATAAAACAGAACATTCGTAAATGATGATTTGATACAATTATCGAATTGCTTTTCTGATCAGATAATAGCAAACTAGGGTACATTCTTTAATCGAAGCTTTTTACAAGCGTTGAAAATAATTTCCTTATCAAGAAGGTTTATGCTTATTTTTCTTCAGTTTCGGAAAATGCAAGAAATGCAACAATAAATGACAGCAGTAGAGACAATTCCATCTCAATACTGAAAAGTAGGAGACATTGTTTTGTCTCATACCCTAAATCATGTTTCGCTCTACAGCTTTAAGCCTGGTTTGCACTAGAGTCATAAGGGTCGTAAGGATCGTGAGGATCGTAAGAACGTAATTTTAAGATTTTATGACGCTTATGATCAAGTGAAAACACCAAGAATCATAATCGTAAAATAATTAGCACTTGATTTCATCTCTTAAAATTCGTGACATAAGGATCGTAAAGCCTGGTTTTCACTAGAGTCATAAGGATCGTATCGACCATAAGAAACATAATTTTTAAGTCCGTGTTTTTGATCTTTACGATCCTTATGTCACGAATTTTAAGAGATAAAATCAAGTGCTAATTATTTTACGATCACGATTCTTGGTGTTTTCACTTGATCATAAGCGTCATAAAATCTTAAAATTACGTTCTTACGATCCTTACGACCCTTATGACTCTAGTGAAAACCAGGCTTAAGAAATTTTTATGATGGTGTTTTCCTTTGGATTATAAGAAACATAAGCAACACGGACTCAAAAATTATGTTTCTTATGATCGATACGATTCTTATGACTTTAGTGAAAACCAGGCTTTACTAGAGACTTCCTATAAAAGTTCTGTAAAAATCTGTAAGATACAAGGCCCTATCTTTGTATCAAGATGTTGACGTCATTTATATGCAGAAGAGAGTATAATTTCATAAGCCCTGCAAATGGGACTAGAAGGCAGGCCTTGTAGGTCACTGTCTCTCTGTTAAGAGAAATTTCGTTTCTTTGAGAGAATTTAAACTCACCTATGATAAGGACGTATAACATCATGAGATTCCAACGTCCCCCTGCTCGAGACAACGTTAAAACTGTCAACACAGTTGCAATCCAGCTGGAGAAACATGTCCTTTCTTCTATTCTCTGCAGCTATGATTAATCCCGACATTCCTTTAGAAATGTAGTAACAAGTCACTTCTGATATACCCTGCAAGACATAATGAATAGTAAGTATATGCTGTGTCACTATTTGTATAGCAAAATAGGGCAACTCTTTTCAAGTGGTATTGCAAGCCTTTCCTAAACAAAGCACATTGCCTTGCCTAGGTCAAAAGTAAATGGCAAAAACATGAAAGCAAATAGGACCAAGTAGACACCGCTTATATGAGGCTCACGTTCTTGTTGCCCATATTCCGTAATGGATGCAAAAAATGAGCAGGACAGGAGCCAAAACGTGCGAAAAAATACTTTTGAGGCTAAAACAGGTTGTTCAACTGGGAGCAGGACTTACGTCCTTAAGAAGATTGGCTTATAGAGCCAAACTCGGAAATTAGGTTGAGCCAAAGATGGAAAGTTTCAAACAATGGCAAAGCAGCATCTGAAATCTGAAATTCAAAAGAATAATTGAACAATAGGATGAAACAATAGCAGGAGCCATACTAACCTCATGACGTTTACCAAGTTTTCTACATAGAAGAAACAAAGCATCTGCTTGAGTGTGTAGCGGGGCAGGGCTGTGCTCAATGAAGACTGGCTGCGAGCTATGCACTGTCAACGTATAGGGTGGGGGCGCCACTTTCGACTGTACAGTGTGCCAGTGGCTAAATGCAGATGGGACTATAAGAAAGAACAGTTGATAAGGAAGATAACACAAGAGAGTAGTTTTTCATCTGATACATGATAGATCTTTAACTGTTTCTAGAGAAAGAAATGCTGTCACCCTCGATTGAGCGTTGATTCTCCTTACGTTGGATGGTCGCTTCTAAAGCCGATCAACTTAAAGATGAGATTTCAAGTTCACTAAATGCAGAAAATATCTGCATAGTCGCTTCTAGCCAGATATGACTACAAATTATATTACACATTTTTCATCATTATTCTTGATTGCTGCATTGATGATGCAACATTGAATTTATCTTTAAGCGTTGGTTACTGTATAAAATTCAAATCTTGTTTTCAACGATCCAGTGTCTGAAGCTGTTGAAAATCATTATCTTATTCGCTTTAAAACAAAATATAGACATACTGTATAAAGTAAAATTTAATCATATATACCTAACATGTAAGCACCAGGTTCAAGAAACACATTACACCCCACAGACTGGCGAATCTTGCGTGGGCTGTTTGCAACATGACTACGGGGGCGCGGCTGGCTAGCGCCCTCTGCTGTTTCATACACACCCACCATTATGTCCATGAGGGATGCCGATTCGTCGCTAAATCCTCTGAAAAAACCGTACAGTCAAAAAGTCGTGCTAACACAAAAAAGTGCGTAAAACATGCCTGTTGTTATCTAGCTAGAAAGGGAACAAATTTGTACCTGCTATTACGTCACAAACTCAACACCAGACCTCTTTGATGCAAGGTCTTGCTGTAGCTACATTTTTTATAGATATAAGTAAAATAATTGAAAGCAAAAAAAAGCGGCGGATGAAATTAAACAAAGTGCAAACAGTTTAAGAAGTGCAGATAATACTTCATCCGAATTACATATTATAAATATGTAAGAAGGAAAGAAAGAAAATAACTGGATTGGATTTTATTGGCTTGAATTGGGTTGAGTTTATTCCCCACCGCAATTTTCATAAGGTAAAATATCACAAGGAGGCATAGTTGTGCCGTTTCTTAATCAAATGTGCCATTCTGCCTCTCACCTTTTTTTCAATCCGCACGTGGATTTAATTGTCACTTACCTACCTTTTACGCTATGCGGACGAGCATCCTTCAATAAAATACAGTATTTCAATCCATTTCCACAATGGCAAAATTTTTCGAAGCAAAGATGTATAAGAGGGGATAGTGCCACCCTCACAACCTTATACTGAATAAATTGACCTGTGCTGCCCATAGAGCCTTATTTCTATCCGGAGAAGTGACATGATTTACCTATTCGATTCTTGGAACAAGCAGACGTCCACATCAGTTGGCTGGAAAACGTGAAGGATGCTGATTGTGCCTAATTCTCCCTGACCACAAGAGAATTTCCCATCAAGTCGAACTTCGCTCCAACTGGGGCGAACTTTACAAACATCAACGCAGTCGAAATATCTGAAATCGCAAACATAGTAGAATATATATTAATAAGTAGCTTAAAACTATAGAATATAGATTCATAAGCAGCAACAAAAAGACCTAAAATGCTATTTTTTATTTTTCATAAACAACGTCAGACCATATCAGAAACCATTGAATATCTTCTACGGCCTAATGATCTATCTGTAAAATTTTCTGGTCTGTATCAATAATCTTTCATATGGCTGATTTCCTTGTGACTCTTTGCATTCATATTTCTAAAATCGCTCGATTCAAATATATATATATATATACATTCAAATTTAAAGGAAATTAACAATTCCAATCAAGACAATGTTTGCATTGTATTAGAAACTACTTATTGGCTCTCCACTCACCATACAAAAATTGGTTTCATATAATCAGAATGCGACGCGTATCGCTTGGTACCTTGGACATTCCTCTTGGTGTGACCTAAATTCTTTATTTTTGAAGGTTAACTAAAGCAAAAATTGCAACTGTAGGTATTAAAATCACAAGAGGCAATATAAATACGTAATTTATTGCAAAATCATTCACTCACTCCATCATATGTTCCAGTGATATCCAAAAAACGCCTTCTTCAGCACCGTGGGCCATGAGAGTTGTACGTAATTCTGGGGTCCATTCATCAGAATGGTCTGACCAAGCACCGGTCCAAGAGCAACGCCCCCAAGGGTTTCTCAATCGAACCAGCCTTAAAAATAGAAAAATAAAGTCATGTGAATTGCGCTTCGAAAAGAAAAAGTGACCGTGACGTTACTGCTAAAGAAAAGAGTAAATAAACTATCTTTGCCTTCTTGATCAATAGATAATCAGCATTTAAAGCTAAATTATTTAAGCCTTAGCTGAGAAAAAGGATTTCCTTCTAAAAGTCTTTGCTCATGGTTAAAAAAATGACATTTTCTACTACAGCGCAGCTGTTCTCGTTGTTGATGTACATTATTACGAAACAGTAATGGTAACCACGAGGAAATTTTATTTTCAGCCTTGGCCAAACTAGGCAAATTAACCGAGAAACATGGCCAAAAAAAACTTTGCTCAATTTTTGTCCAGGTTGCCAACCATATCGTCAAATGAGGTCGTCTCAAACTTTGTAGCAAGCTTGAACATTTTTTGTTACATTTGTCGCCCGGATCGGTCAACAAAGACGTTACCTTTTCTAATTAGTTCTTAAGTGCATTTCAGTCGGTTTCTAGGGGCACTACACTCAATTTAAAAAATGTACCTGTTCTGGCCAACAGCCCTCACGTCGAGAACGGAGTACGCATGCTGAGCTTGCAGGCCCACTGCCTTGTATGAATCGAAAAGTTCCTCATCGTCAATATCACCACCACACGATGCTCCCATTATAAATCTAGAGGAACAGGAAACAATTCTATACAAAATCATAAAAAACAAGATGGTTGAGCGACTCCGCAGTTACAGCTGGGGGCGAAATAATTGAGTTTTCATTCGTTCAGTTTCAAGAACATGAATGCCAAGTAGACTGGATTGAACAATACGTGCAGGAAATAATATTCATCACACATGGAAAAAGTTGTTTACCCTGCATCCTTTGCACTTAACAACGTTGCCCAAACCAGGTCAGCATCAACTGGTTCATCTACTGCCTCTCCAGGCCTTACTGAAAAACAACAAAGGGTTAGGCCTCTAGTTTTGCTTCTTTGACAATCTTTCTATAAGAAAGCTAAATTCTTGATTATTTTGGAACTTGAGAGTAAGGATGATTGTTAAAAAGAAAAATTAACATAGGAGTTTTGAAGAAAATAAATTCGAACAACCGTCAGTTGCTCAATGGCTGTGTTCTGCATTAAGCATAAAATATTGAAGAAACAAAAATAATCTTTGTACAGTGTAGTAATGCACCAATGACATGACATGACATGACATGACATACACAAACATACACAAACATAAAACAAACATAAAACAAAAATATAACAAACATATAACACAACATGTCATTATTTACAAAGGCAACAAAATAAAACAAACAAGACACAACAAAGTAAACAAAGTATACAAAGTACAGCACAGCACATGTTCGTAGGATTTACATACTTTTCAGCATGATGCTTTCACATGGGCATCCTGTCATCAGCTCTAGGCCTTCAATTGCACGACCAGCAACTAGAGCTTCATAAGAACCATAAAGTTTAGCTACAGCTTTTTCTATCAACGGTACCCACAACTGATTCCGGCTTGCCTAAATAAAAGGACAAAATTAAATGAAGGGTAAATCAATCAAAAGTATCAAGTCAAGAAAGATTTTGTATGAAAAACATTTCACAACTGCATGATAAATTATACCTAAGAAAAGAATTCATATCCAGATGGATATAAATACTAGCTTGGGAGAGAAAATCCATTCTGCTGCCTCCTTGTTTTGACTGATCGTGGATAAAAAGCTTCTCCCATATGCAAGTTTTCAACCTTAGAGAGCATTTTTGGCAACAGCAACATGGAAACACAAGCTATAGAGAGATCTCATAGTGAGCTATTTTCATATAAGTTTTGCTCCATTTGACCAATTCAGAAGGTTTCTCTTGTGACCAATTTTTATTTGACTCAAAAAGCATAACAGATCTGCAATGTTTTTGTCAGTTTTAGTTTCAGAACAACAGGTCAAAACAGATCTCCAACAGTGATAACCAGAATGAATAATGGAAGAATGAATGTAAGCAAATCAGTAAAAGACAGTAGACTAGAGTTTGCCATGATGATTATGACGATTAATACAACAATAACTTTAGTCCAGAATAAGAAAAATTGTTTAAAATCTGTTCCAACCTGTGAATAAACAAGATTCCCTTTAGCGTCACAGGGCAGCAGATCATCTACTAAAACAACTTCCCATTTCCCACTCCGGCATAGACGGACTTGGTATGCCCCCTCGCGGCAAACCTGTTGGACAAAGATAATATATTATTTAGGACTTCAACATTAATTTCAAGACTATTTATAGCTCATACTAGACTTTGATGTCTGAAGATTGGCAAAATGTCAAAATGTTTACTGACATAATGTCATTGCACCTCACTGTATGGTATTGCATGGTACTGCATGCTATCACATGTAACAATTATAAGCATTGAAAATGGCTTTGAAAAATGAAAACATTTCACAACATACTACTAAAAACTTTTTCGCCTGACACTTCTTAGAGTATAAAATGTCAGAATAAGGGTCCGAAAGAACACAAAGGAAAATGCATACCCAGTTGTGGATTGAAATAGGCCAATCAGAAAAACACAAGCACATGACAGGCATAATTGTCACATTATGACAACCAGTCCTGCATGCCCTTAAATTTCACATTATCAGGCATGTAGTGATAATCAAATTTTAACATCAATGATCATATGTACCAGTGGCATGATCAATCCAATTTCTCATTTTATTAAGAAAACAAACCTCTCTGGTAATCATTACTCTTTCCAACAATTCTGGCCTTTCAGAAAGGACTGCTAGAGCACTCAGAAGCCTGAAAAATTAACAATTTACTAATAAAATGTATCCTCAAAAGAAGAAAAACATTCAAAATTATGATAAAAGTCCTCTGTTTTAACTTTTTAGAAAACCAAATAAATTGGTTTTGACTTCCATTTATCCTGGTGCCATATTATTTGCTTAAAAAAGATGCTATTTTGAAAAAAATTGTTATAGAAATGGGTACACAAAAGAGTATGATAATATTAAAAGTTGGCTTTGAATGCCTTTTATATTTTCATATTATGAAAAGGATTTACAAAAATTGATAAACATTGGCTTCTTTAAGAATCATCTGTGTTGAAAAAGGCTGTCTGCAATTATTTGGCACCATAGAATAATAACTGGCATACTATACAAAGAAATTTTAGAAGCAATGAAAGTGTAAATAATTGTAATTGGTAGCAAAACATCTGCACTGAAAATTTTTGATACCAGTTTTCACAGTGATAATCAGTTTTTTAAAAGAAATGTTGTTCTTCATATGTTCTCTAATGTGACACATAGCCTAGATAATACATAGGTTTCTTTTAGATTTATGACAGTATTGGCACTAATGCACCAACATACCTCTCAGTATGTGGTTGTATAACAAAACCATACCAAAAGGTAAGGACTGAGGTAAGGATCAGCATCCAAGAGGTATGTTAATGAATTATCACCTAAAGTATTTGACTAACAGCACAAATATAGCTACTAGTTTCCTTTGCTAATTTCTTTTTGAGAAAGAAACAGGTTTCAGCAGTTTGGTTTTACCTCTCTTATGTTAACTGAGGCCACTCTTGTCATAAAATCAAATTTTGTGTAAAAATAATGTATGTGTGTTTTTATATGTTTTGTGCAGCAATTGATAATAAACAAAAGATGAAAACACACAAACCAGCAATTCCCAAGGACTCCTTGTGCTATATCTGTAGGCCTTGGGTCTCTAAAAACAACCCATGGCACACCACTACCAGCATCAGACTTAATATCATGAGGTCGTCTCCACTGTTTAACTTTAGTTGATTTTCTCCCCAAAGATTTTTCATTTGGTAGAAATGAATCATCGACAAATGGCACATTTGCCTGTTTAAATAAAATATGTTTACAAAAATAACTTACAGTAGACTCTGGTTATAGTCACGCAAAAAGTTGCTTGAAAACTTTTTACTTTTATTGGCATGATTTTCAACTCATGCAAAGGCATATTTCATGCATTCATGTCTCACTGCAAAGACTGCCTCTACATAAGAATTTCCTGCATATTAAATTCAATCTTTAGCCTTGCAGGACTAATTCATCAAAACATCATAAAAATATCACAACCTATGACAACATGTTTGGAACAATTAGATTTAAAAGTGGTACCACCATATATAGAAATTAATTTTCTGACTACATCTTTCTATCATTAGGCCATCTAGTATTTGAAGATCTATTTAAACATTGTTTAGTGACCATTAGCACAAAGCAAGCCTCTCATGACAAGTCTATGAACTGAATCAGTTTCATTGTGCTTACCTCTGTACATATTGAAACAATGTTTTTCCATTCTTTTAATGCCTTGGTTTCATCATCTTCTCTGATAGTTTCTACTTTGTTACTTGTTTGCCTCTGCAATTTTCTTGTTAATTCAAACTGTTTGTCTGTTTCTGATTTGCTCTTGGGTGGAGGTGGTCTTGCAGGCTTTTTTTCTTTGCTTGGTCTTCCTTCATTGCAAGCCCCACAAAATAGATTTGATATTGGATTTTCTAGTGTGCATACACGACAACTCCAAATTTTACCTGTACAAAAAAATATGTTCAGTTGTTGTATGTAAAGGATACACGTGTACATATTCTAAAACTATTTTGATTACAACTTCATTTGTGCCAAGGAAAATAAAACTCTATATTCAAAGCATTTATAGAATTTTATAATTAAACAGTTTGATATATTTGTGTTGCTTCAAAGACTATAATGGTTGTGTTGCTTGGAAGTTTATAATAGATACTAAAAAGAAGTATGTATACATTATATTGAAAAAACATCCACTTGGCAGATAGAATAGAAAGGATGACAGGATTCCTTTTCCAGACCATTGCCTTGTGTACAGATTGGCCAAGAACTGATGATACAGAGGAAACTTAACTAGCAAAAAATGAAAATGAAATTAAAACTATGCTGAAATAGGACACATAATTTTATTTTCAGCTGTGCTTTGGAGGGAAAATCTTTAGAGTCTTGTGAGTGAAGCAGTAAAAGTTCACAGCAGTGACAACTTTTCTAAGCAAAAACGAACCTAAAGACATTTTTGCAAGCATCACAAACTCTTTAAATATTTAAATATTTACCTTCAGTTGTAACAAGGCATAATTAGAACCAGATATTGTCATAAACTAACAAGAAGTTGATGTAGTTCTGGCAAGTTGAAAACCCAGGTAAATCTGGAATTCATCCAAATTCATTAAAGGAATCAAGGAACCAACTGAAGAAGCCACCTGTGATTCTATACAAGAAAGGTATAGAAGGAAGAGGCAGTACCTACTAGTGAATGGAAAAAAGTAAAGGTTTCTCCTATCTACAAATGGGGAAAAAGGCAAAAGCATCATTTACAGACCAGTAAGTCTGACATCCATTCTTAGCAAAGGATTTTGTGAAGCAGCTTTTTCATATGATCAATACTTGGACAAAGCTTCTAGGTGATACTCTACCAATCAATGCTGTATACTTGGATTTCACAAAGCCCTCACAAAGAATAAAATTTCACAAAGAATAAAATTATGTCTTATGGGCACTCTTATTTTAGAAAGACATCCAAAATATCAAAAGAGGCAGAGAAGGGGAATAAGTATGATAGCGGAATTAAGAGACTTAAAATATAAGGTTCATTTGCAAAGACTACAATATCAAGCCTTGTTTATCAAAGACTTGGTTGATCAGGATTCAGACATACAAGAACATGCAAAGATATTACGATGTAGACCCTTCAATGACATTAGAGAACTACAAGAAGACCAGATGTTGCACACTTAAGATACGTAAGAACAGTTTCAACAAGATCGTAAGACAGATATCCTTTACTACAAGGCTTGTGAACATCTAAAGTTCATCATTTATCCTTTACACGAATAAATAATATCTAAAGTCTTTTGCTTTGATAACAAAGAACATCTAATGTGCAACCTACCATCACAAAGTGCAAGGCTTTCAAACATGCTAAATTACTACCTTAAACAGCTAAATGGTAATTGGCCATAGTAAAAAGTAGTCTGCTTACCAATATTTACAACTTTGCAATCAAATATCTTAATAACAACCTTCCTGTTCGTAAAAACTTATGTAAGTGAAACACGAGCTTAACATCTGATTGTCAGTTTTGTCCTCTTTCAAGTAACCTTAGTCCATGTTGTTTCTGGTTATAAGGTATATTTGGACCAAGGTCATTGCACATAAATGGCTTTCTAGCTTCATCCTTGAAATCAATAAATGTCTCTACTTTATATAATTGTATACCTGACTTTCCATCATAATCGGTGATTCACTATGGCCTGTTCTACTTCTTAAGATTAAAAGCAATAGCATTGTCTTGGTGCTAACAGTAGGATTTCAAACCAATCTCTTGTGTAACACAGAACAGAAGCACCATAAATATGTTCCTCTTATCAAAGCTCCAAAGCACAAGTGCAAATCAGTAGAGTTTGTCAACCTTTCCATTAGACAAATCTTGCCAAACCTTTCTTGACATGTACAAAACTCTTTCACTTGATCAACAACAGAAACATTACTTCATCGCCAAACTGGGCAGCCTGTGGTGTAAATACTAAATTAATAGATTGTTACCACAGGGGGTGCTCTCTCCTTGATTAGTCTATCTATTGAGAGAGCTCCTCCTTTAAGAAATTCCTGCATGCAAATCTCCTTTGTTTTGTAAAATCATCTATATTTTTCTCTTGTTCTCTATCTCTCTCATTGTATGTAATTTATTTCATCTTTTGTAACCTGTTGCTGTATTTTAAAAGATATGTATGTATGGATTTTTAAAAAAGAATTTCGAAAAAAGAAAAAAAGAAAAAAGAACTTCCCATGATTTTTATTTGTACACTTTTATATCAAATGAGAAATAAATAATGGACAAATCCAGTTTTACTTTCTTTTTAATTAATCATTGTTTCTTCTTCTCTTATTTTTACACACTCTTGCAAATTACCTTGTAATAGTGAGATTTGTAATTGTAGCTCAAGTTGGATTGAAAATGAAATGTTTCCATCATTATAATTACTTTTTAAAAACAAGAGAGTAAATTTCTCAACAGGTTTGAGATAAGAATTTTTGAATCTGAAAGCCTGAGATAAGAAACAATTGACCTGCGGACGTGCGCGCGTGAATTTTGACCTACAGCTGGATGACCTTCGAATTTTTAAGGTCAGAAGAAATTCTGAAAATAACGTTCTGTGTTAAAAGTCGGAGCAGGCTTGTCTAATTTCTGCCTGCTCGGAGCCACGGAGATTATTATTAGCTTCAAACTGTTGCTAGGGTAGGGATATTTAAATATGCTGCCTTTAATGGTGATGTAATGATACAATGTTTGGTTATCATTAACTATCTTGTACCGCGCGGTAATTCGGATCCATCAGAGGAATGACAATAGCAGCGAACGGAGGCCTGCCAAAGGAAGGTTTGTTACGTTTGTTTTTTATAAAATATGGAACGTTTATTGTTAAATTCAATCAAGTATAACTAGAAAAAGATTGATTTATCATTCTGACTCCAAATGACAGGGTAGTTTTACGATAAGACTTAGTCTGCTAGCAATAACATTAGAGAATCTCATTTTTAAAACTGTTGAATTCCTATCAAGGCCTAAAATGTTGTTCTAAATCGTAAAAAGCGCTATCTAATGCTATTAAGCTCTTCAAAACAACTTAATAAATGAGTATTTTAAAAACAATTTATATCTTAGGAACTTTAGACTTGTATAGCAAGTCCAGCCTGAGACCTGCGGCTCCACACCAACCCGGCTCAAGTGATGGAGCGAAGTTAATTTTACTGTTTTTCATAGAAGCTAATCATTTAAGGGACTTGTTCAGGATAATTTTTTAAAAATTAATTAAAATAATGGAAAACTTAAAAGTCAAAGTAAATTCCAGTGGGTTGTTATTTACTTGTCTTATAATGAATTCGGCACTTAACTTACCTTTCACTCCTTTGGCAATCCCGTTAGTAAGTTTAGATATACCACCACCTCTTGGCAAAAAATCGCAATCTATGGTTATTGGAAATTCTTGATTACCTTCCTTTTGACTTTGTTCTGGGTTTAACAATACTGATTCGTTTGTAGCATCCTCTCGAGCCAATGGCCTAAGCTTGGCATCAGGTCGTATGCATTCACACATATCACACTTCGTTTTTCCATGGCGGTTATGATAGGTGCATCGGCTGCAAGCCCAAAAACCTCCTGCTTCTGTTTGATTTTCCATCTTGAAATACAGATTGATGCAAAACTAAGGGAACTCTCTTCCTAAAAATTTGGACATGGCAGGAAATCTACCGCCATGGCATAACAATTTTGTTTGGGAAAGTACAAGTCATCTTATTGAGGAAGCTTGCTCTCTTAATCAGTTCACCTCATTCACCTCGAGACTCATGACAAATTGTTTCATTGCTGTTACTGTTTCCGGATCGCAACCATTCATGGAAACTGTGATAGAAATTGATGACGTCAAATATACTGTAGTTCCCCCTTTGTTTCCCTACGGAAACTAAAAAGGGCTGGAATCTTTAATATTTTAAAACTTTAAAAACTGGCTCTTATGAACCTTTTTATCTTAATCCATGCATTTTTAGGAAAGCAAGTGTCAACATTTTGCATTTAATAAAATATAAATCTGGTCTGTTCTTCATTCTAAATATCTATTAGCGTAAAAATGTTGCCAAAAGTCAACCAACAATTGAACAATGACACAGTACTGTATATAAAATAGTAGCAATAATTGTTTCATAACACAGACACCGCGCCGCGGAACAAGGGAGCTGTGGGGGCTGTGGGGCCTTTGGCCACTTAAAAAGTACAGTATCTTGTGAGCTTTGAACATAATTTTTGCCATTATCATTATATTCAACGCTTTCCCCGTCGTACCAGTTGGGAATTTATTAATATTTTGCCGATATTTCAGCAACTTTCTAAAAATGTTTTACAGGTTTGCTGAGAGGCATTGACATAGCCGGCCCGTCGGAACCGGGGGGGCTGGGGGTGACTGGAGTATGTTTCCTTTATAACAGTGTCCTGAATGAGAAGGAATTCAATGAGCAGCCCCCCACCCACAATATGAATTTCGCTCCGACGACATTGCATAGCATGGATTGACGTCCCCCTCCTCCTTTCCCTCCTTTCGTTATTCAGCATGACCAAGGACACAGAGAATTTAGACCGGAAGTCGTATACTTTCATATCAATATTCCCTACTCGTATCTACGGTTTTAAGTTTTGGACAAAGTAACAATAGACTATTGTCATATATAACAATCAGTATTGATGGTTATTATAGCAACGATAATCCCATGCGCCAAACAAATCAGGGCAACAGTTCTGGTCATAGAAAGGCAAAAAAGCAAAGCCGTCGTAAGCTATATCTGGATAGATAAAAAAGAGCTTCCTATGACTTTATTGCAAGATCAGCCTATCAAGCATTAGATTAAAGTAAGAACGTATTTAAGTGTCTCCCAACACAAGCAAAGTATCAAGTGGCTAGGCCATCCAAGAGCAGCTGAAATGCCTACTTGCACACACATAGCTTATCACCAGGAAGCACAAAGAAAAGCCAGAACAATTGCTAGAAGGCAAGAGGCGATCCTGCATCAAATTCGGCAACAGGTTTGGCTTTTTTACAGCGAATTACTTCTTGACTTCCAATTGCAATAATTCATATAAATCAGAGTTACTTAGTGCCTTTTTACATGAGGGGTGTCAGCAAAGGGTCTATAGCTGAAAGATCTGTAGCAATAAACTGTGCTGTGCGCTTTGTTAGAGCTGTAGTGTAGCCAAAGTGGTAAGATTGGGGTGGGGGGACGGGGGGGGGGCGG